CGCCCAGCTCCAAGACCTTTATCATGAAGGGGTGTTGGATTTTGTCAAAGGCCTTTTTAGCATCTAATGAAATGATCATGTGTTTTTTCTTTCAGTTTGTTTCTATGGTGTATTACATTGACAGACTTCCGTATGTTGAACCAACCTTGCATCTCTGGGATGAAGCCTACTTAATCATGGTTGATAATTGTTTTGATGTGTTCTTGAAGTCTGTTTGCCAGTATTTTATTGAGTATTTTTACATCAGGGTTCATGAGGGAGAATGGTTTGTAATTCTCTTTCTTTGTTGCATCTTTGTTTGGCTTGGGAATCAGAGTAACTGTAGGCTCATAGAAGGAGTTTGGTAATGTTCCTTCTGTTTCTATTGTGTGGAACAATTTAAAGAGTATTGGTATTAACTCTTCTTTGAAGAGCTGGTAGAATTCTGCATTGAAACCATCTGGTCCTGGGCTTTTTTTGTTTGGGAGACTTTTAATGACTGTTTCTATTTCCTTAGGGGTTATTGGGCTATTTAAATGGTTTATCTGGTCTTGATTTAAGTTAGGTATGTGGTACCTATTCAGAAAATTGTCCATTTCTTTTAGTTTTTCCAATTTTGTGGAGTACAGGTTTTTGAAGTATAATTTCTGACCTGATGATTCTCTGGATTTCCTCATTGTCAGTTGCTAATTTGGATGCTCTCTCTCTGCCTTTTGGTTAGTTTCGAAAAGGGCTTGTCTATCTTGTTAATTTTCTCAAAGAACCAACCCTTTGTTTCATTGATTCTTTGTATTGTTCTCTTTGTTTCTATAATGTTGATTTCAGCTCTCAATTTGATTATTTCCTGGTGTCTATTCCTCCTGGGTGACTTTGTTTCTTCTTGTTCTAGAGTTTCAGGTGTGCTATTAAGTCACTAGTGTGGGATTTCTCCAACTTCCTTATGTGGACATTTAGTGCTATGAATTTTCCTCTTAGTACTGCTTTCATAGTGTCTCCTAAGTTTGGGAATGTAGTATATTCATTTTCATTGATCTCTAGGAAGTCTTTAATTTCTTTATTTCTTCCTTGACCCTTTGGTGATTCAGTTGAGCATTATTCAGTTTCCATGAGATTGTAGGCTTTCTGTAGTTTTTTGTCATTGTTGAAATCTAACTTTAAACCATGGTGGTCTGATAGAACACAGGAGGTTATTCCAATTTTTTTGTATCTCTTGAGATTTGCTTTGTGGCCAAGTATGTGGTTAGTTTCAGAGAAGGTTCCATGGGGTGCTGAGAAGAAGGTATATTCTTTCTTGTTTGGGTGGAATAGATATCTATTAAGTCCATTTGAGTCATAACATCAGTTAAGTTCCTTATTTCTCTGTTAAGTTTGGATTTGGCAGATCTGTCCAGTGGTGAGAGTGGAGTGTTGAAGTCTCCCACTATTAATGTGTGGGTTTTTATGTGTGATTTAAGCTTTAGTAATGTTTCTTTTATATATGTGTATATCCTTGTGTTTGGGGCATAAATGTTCAGAATTGAAGCTTCATCTTGGTGGATCTTTCCTGTTATGAGTATGTAATATCCTTCTTGATCTCTTTTGATTGATTTTAGTTTGAAGTCTATTTTGCTGGATATTACGATGGCTACACCAGCTTGCTTTTTATTTATTTATTTAATTTTATTTTTTTGTTTTTAAAAAAGATTTATTATGTATGCAGCATTCTGCCTGCATGTGTCCCTGCAGGCCAGAAGAGGGCACTAGATCTCATTACAGGTGCTTGTGAGCCACCATGTGGTTGCTGGGAACTGAACTCATGACCTTTGGAAGAGCAGTCAGTGCTCTTAACCACTGAGGCATCTCTCCATCCCCCCCTCCAACTCCAGCTTGCTTTTTAAGACCATTTGATTGGAAAGACTTTTTTCCAGCTTTTTATTCTGAGGTAGTGTCTCTCTTTGAAACTGAAGTGTGTTTCTTGTATGCAGTAAAAAGATGGGTCCTGCTTTTGTATCTATTCTTTTTGCCTGTGTCTTTTTATAGGTGATTTAAGTCCATTGATATAAGGGATATTAATGACCAGTGATTGTTTGTTCCTGTTATCTTTTGGTGTTAGTGTGTGTATTTCCCTTCTTTGGGATTTACTGCTGTGGGGTTATCTAGTGCCTGTGTTTTCATTGGTGTATCTGACTTCCTTAGGTTGGAATTTTCCTTCTAGTGCTTTCTGTAGGGCTGGATTTGTGGATAGGTATTGTTTAAATCTGGTTTTGTCTTGAAATGTCTTGTTCACTCTGTCTATGATGATTGAAAGTTTTGCTGGGTATATTAGTCTGGGCTGACATCCATGGTCTCTTAGTGTCTGCATTACATCTGTCCAGGTTTTTCTGGCTTTCAGAGTCTCCATTGAGAAGTCGGGTTTTATTCTGATGGGTTTGCTTTTATGAGTCAATTGGCCTTTTTCTTTGCTGCTCTTAATATTCTTTCTTTATTCTGTACATTTAGTTGTTTAATTATTATGTGTCGAGGGGACTTTTTTGGGGGGTCTAGTTTGTTTGGTGTTCTATAAGCTTCTTGTATCTTCACAGGTATTTCCTTCTTTAAGTTGGGAAAGTTTTCTTCTATGATCTTGTTGAATATATTTTCTGTGCCTTTGAGTTGGTATTCTTCTCCTTCTATCCCTATTATTCTTAGGTTTGGCTTCTTCCCAGGTTTCCTGGACATTTTGTGTTATGACTTTTTTGGCTTTGGTATTTTCTTTGACTGATGAATCTATTTCTTCTATTGTATCCTCTACACCAGAGATTCTCTCTTCCATGTCTTGTATTCTGTTGGTTATGCTTGCATCTGTGTTTCCTGTTTGTTTACTCAGATTTTCCATTTTCAGCATTCCCTCTGTTTGTGTCTTCTTCATTGTTTCTAGTTCCCTTTTCAGGTCTTGAACTGTTTCCCTCACATGTTTAATTGCTTTTTCATGGGTTTCTTGGCTTTCTGTAAGGGATTTATTGATTTCTTCCAATTTTTTATTTGGCTTTTCCTCAATTTCTTTATTGATTTCTTCCAATTTTTTTGTCTTTTTCTCAATTTCTTTATTGGTTTCTTCCATTTTTTAAAATTTGTCTTTTCCTCAATTTCTTTATTGACTTCTTCTAATATTTTGTTTGTCTTTTTCTCAATATCTTTATTGATTTCTTCCAACTTTTTGTTTATCTTTTCTTCAATTTTTAATCTTTTCTTGAAAGGCCTCTAGCATCTTCATGATGCTATTCTTTTTTTTTTAAATTTAGAAATTTATTCTGTTTAATCCACAAGCTTTATATAGCTTTAGTTAAAAATTAAAATAAAATAAAACAAGTGAAACCAAGACCCTATGTCCAAGTCCAGGCCCTCCTAGCCTGCCAATGCAAGAGCTCTTCAGTTGTGTGTACCAATTCGAAGAGTAGGGAAAAAAATATGCATGGGAGCCACAAAGTTTCATAAAACAAATTTATCTAACTGAAGGGTCCTTGCTGGGTCAGATAAACTGCCTTTACAAAAGAGAGGGGGGAAAAAGGGAGGGGGGAAGGAAAACAAACCAACCCAAAGAGGACAAAATCCCAGAGTTCTAAATCAACGTATGAGCCTGGCATGCACAGACAGACTCTTCGGCATTCGTGAGCAGTGCCGCCCTGCTCTCCAGAGCTGGAACCCCGAGGTGTCAGCAGAGACTCCACAGAACAGGAGTGCTGGCGACATTAACACACTCACTCAGACCTTTGTCCTTCAACAGTGGTCTCCCTCTGGGCAAGCTTACGAACCTACCCAAGGCTGAAAGCATAATTTACATGGGTGCTCAAATTTAAGAGAAAGAAGAGGAGGAAGAAAAAAAAGGTGGGGGTGAGGGAAAAAAACAAACTAACTCTGGGGAGAGGCAAGGGCGTTTAAAGGAACCACAAAAATGTCAACAATATTTAAACACCCTTAAAAAAAAAGTTGGTTTTTTTTTTTTTTTTTTTTTGGCTTAAAATATTTCACTCTAAATGTCAATGGAAGAATGTCACTAATACACCGTGGACGCCTTTGTAATGTAAATCCATGCCCCCTTTTTTTAAAACATGGTGAACTTCAACCTAGCAATTATTACAACAAATGTTATAGTCTAAAGCTCAAACACATTTTAGCAATTTTGAAATTGAATTGAGTACAAACCAAATCAAATTTACAACGTAACAAACATGTCCACCTAGGACTGTGGGGACACTTGAGCCTTCCGCATGGACCGCAGGGCCTTCTCCCTCAGGTGCCTTTCGAGGTCATCAAGGTTGTCCTCAGCTTCAC